ACAAAATAGGTAAACATCTTTCTGGTATTCTCTGCTTTCAGCCAGGATCCATCTGACATCAGCGATGATATCCCTGGTTCCACGTCCTCTTCTGAATCCAGCTTGAATTTCTGGCAGTTCCCTGTCGATATACTGCTGCAGCCACTTTTGAATGATCTTCAGCAAAATTTTACTTGCATATAATATTAATGCAGCAGATCTTCCCAATGCAATGCATCTTTTGATTTTTTGACTGTTGCTTCCATGAGCATTGATTGTGGATCCAAGTTGGAGTGCAAATGATTAACACACTCGGTTGCTAACTGAAAGGTTGGTAATTCAAGTCCATCCAGAGGTGTCTCAGAAGAAAGGCCTGGAGATCTACTTCCAATAATCAGCCATTGAAAACCCTGTGGAGCACAGCTCTACTCTGCCCACATGGGGTCTCCATGAGTCATGAGTTGGAGTCGACTCAACAGCAACTAACAACAACAACAGATACGATTTTCTGACTTTCTAATATGGAAGACTGTATTTAGATTTCTCACTGCCCTCCCCAGCCATCCACTCAATGCACACACTTTGTCTCCCCATTCGTCCATCACAGATATAGTTATTATTCAAAGCATTCTAAATATGTGAATATTATTCACAGCTGAGCTGTGTATGGACAATAGAGACATTTCTTTTTGTGTATTTTTATTTTTCTGAAGCTAATGTTTATCTACAACCGTGTGAGATATTTCCTTAATATAAATCTCTCTCTATATATATACATTTATATCCCTTACTGGTTTTGCTTATCTAGAGAACCCAGCCTAAGACACTTGTTTTTTTATGTCTTAGGCTTCCCTTGCTGCCAGTCTAGGTTTCTGCTTTCTCTGTTTGGATAAGTCTATAGTCCATCTGTTTTCTAGATTCTAAAATTTTGTTGCTGCCATATGCTCTCCTGTCCCCTTTGTCCATATAGTTTTATGCAATTTTAAGCCCTTCCTGTCTTCTGGGACTGGGCAGCGTTTCCTTCTGTTGTACATAGGGTCACTATGAGTCGGAACCAACTCTACAGCACCTAACAACAACATGTCTTTTTAGTGGTGTTTCAGAAGGAGTGAAGTGTGACCACCCTGTTAAGCAGAAACCCCTCCCCAGTGTCATTAAGTGTCCATGGCAGGGAGACTTTTGCAGAGGGGCGGCCGATCAGACTGCTAACCCAG